CGTTTTTACTAGGGCCACACCCGCTTTTGCTACAGCCACACCCGCCTGTGTAAGTTGCTTCAATCAAAGCCGCTGAAGGGGGTTGAAGTGGCATGGCAATCGAAATAGATCAATAAAACGGCAGCACCGGCGGTAACGGTACAAGCGGCAGCAACACGGGAGACAGCAACGGCCATAGCCGTCCCGCGCCCCTCAAAGCCTCTCGACTACGCTCTCATCTGCCTCGCGGACGAGCTTAGCTTAACAGTTGGGTTTGAGGTGAGGCGTGCTTTGACGCGCAATCAATTGTTTGTATGTAGCGGGTGTGGCCATAGTAAAAACGGGTGTGGCACTCGTCGTACCCTAAAGTATATCATTTATGTAAAGATTAAACTAGTATGATGATGTATGTGTAGTCATGATTATAATAGTCACTCGTCTAAATTACTTCAATACGTTTAGTTGAGTATTCTAAAAAAAAAATTAGGTTAATTTTGTACTCTTCAAAAATCCACTTTAGATTCATTTAGTCTCCTAAAAAAATTGATTTAGGCTAATTTAGTCTTCTCCAAAAAATAATTAAGATAAATTTCAATACAAATATATTACTTAGCATTTATCAATGCTTAAACAATTCTATGGAGAAATTATTTTTTTTGCTTGCGTGATTTATTCTAATCCAAAGTTTGATAATCTTTTGCTAAACAAATTTGTCTCCAATGCAAAATTGAAAAGATAGACTCAATAGAACTAAATGTAGGAAAAAATGTTGCAACTACACCGCAATAGTCTATCAAATTTAGATAATCGAGCACCAAATGAAGACCAACCATCCTTGAAACTTGAACTGTTGGAAAGTGAATCTACGATGCACTTAATCATTAGCTCACATCTATGAGCATGGATGAAAGCTTTGTGTTCATTATCTTTGAGATTAATCTGGTCAGATGAATAAGAAAGCTCAAATCACAAAGAATGTTTTCAAATATTCTGAATAAAATATGTTGCAGATAGCTTGACGTATTCATGTGGTAGCACTAGGGAAATGAAACAAAATCAATCATTGCATTGTTTTTTTGATCTTGATAAACACAAAAATCATCAATCCGATAATAAAAGTTGACGTAAATAAAGACAATATAATGTTGAAGATCGTGTAAATTGCTCTCATCGGTTTCATTAAGTAAGGTTTTAATCCAACAAGCCAGACCAATGAGATATTATTGAACACTAGACACATCAATTGCATAATGATCAACAATGACGTGAGTTGATATACCAATATTTGCAATTGTATATGCATTGAGTTGTTTAATCACTCTAATGTTGGTAATGAAAGTTACGACAAGATTATTCAGTTTATTGTGCTGCTGAAGTACAAGAGGAGTTATTTCTTGAATTGCACAAAAAGCAACAATTGCTCAAAAGTCGAAATGATTCATAGAAACTATTGCAACCCACAGCGAAAGCTGCCTGTTTTGACTCCATATGAACAAGCAATTGTATCTGATGGATTTTGAACCAAGTGATGATGTTCTCCGTAGTAAGCCAATTATTAACAACACGATATACTGTAATTTGCATTTTTGTGATCAAATTATGCTGCGTGTTACATTAGCAATATATTTAGTCATAAAAAATGTTTCTTTGATTGTTCATTGTCCACTTCATAACAAGATCTAGTTTATGTGTTTCACATCAAATCTAAATCAAAAAATAATCCGTATGCATCACATCGGCAAGATAAGTAATAACATTAGTAACTTGTAATGTCAAATTGCAAACTCCATTGGTTGTCAAAACAAGAAGACTAGTTATACAATGTGGACAAGAAGTTGTGAAGACTTTGCTCACCATCGTGAACATGACATCACATATATAACGATCAAACATTGAAAGTGCACAATCATGCAAATCAACAATAGAATGATAGTTACAAATAAAAATCTAAAAATGTATTTCAAAAAATGAGATGCTGTAATGTGTCGCTGTGTTAAGTGCTAATAAAAATTTCAAAGAACGTTGGAGAAGGTTTACAATTTTCTAAAGATTGGCAACACAAATAATCTGAACAAAATTACTGATTTTATGACAAGAACACACTCATAGACCTAGACATCATACGTGCAATTGATAAGTTTGATCGCTATGCAATTTGATATTTAGAAGAACATCTAACATACACCAAGCAAATTATAGTTGTTTTTGTCATGGGTATTGTGATTAAGTAAGAATATTAACTGTACATTTCTTTGATTAACACAATTGAATAATGATAATGTTTGTTCTCTTGACTTTATTGCTATTTGAAGACGACAAATAATCCTAATTTGTGTATTAATTTCAACCAAACTAATAAACATATGATTTTTTTCTCCGTCATTTTCTCCTTCAATGTTTTTTTCTTGCTCATCTGGATTAAACATCATATTTTCCACGTAAATATCCACAATATATCGTTCAAATTCACATACTATTTTTTCTTCATCTTTGAAAGATGAAGAAAAAATTTACTTGAAGTAAATTGATTTGAATTTTTCAAATGAACAATGAAATTTGTAAAGAATAAAGTTGTTTTTAGTTTTAGCTAATACACTACATTTGATATCTTGATTCTTAAATATACAACAATGAAGCTCAATTGTTGTGTATACTTGCATAATATGATACATCGCATTTAGAATGAATTCTCAATATGAAATACAAGTAGAGACTCAAATCTTGTATTTATTCCTAAATATAAACATATTTTCACGTTCAAAATGTTATTCCAGTTTACATTTAAAATAGTAGATCTTTGTATTGGACGATAATAACTATACACAGGTTGAAAATCTTGTCATATTGTGTATCATCATGGTCATGTGAATAGTGGGTTTTTCACATAAAAAGCCATGTTCATAAAACAAAAAAGGATGGTGGAAACATAACATTTTAAACAAAACATTAGAAAGTTCATGAAGTTGTTTGAGCTGTTTAAATATGAATGACTTAATATTACTTAATATGAAAAGTTATTTACTTTTACATTTTTTTTACTTTAAATGTTAAAAAAATGGAAGAACTAAAGCATATGGAAAAAAACGATTAATTGCAATTAACAATCCAGCTAAAAACCCAAACCATAATGTAGCTAAAACAGGTGCAGTAGAAAATAGATTATAATCTGTACCTGCAAGACAATTCAATTTAGATATAATCAATAAGTAATATTTAAGTTTCAATAACATTTGTTCCGAGTATGTATACTCCTGCAACGAACTCCAAAGTCTTGCTCAAATTCTCAATTTTCTAGCAGCAATGTTCATATGTCGAATTAATCATAACCATGGAATTGACAAAAGACAAAACCATGGCTAGTCATGTTTAATCATGTGATAAAACATTCAGTGACGAACCAAAAGAAAAGATATCTATGGTCTAGTCACGGAAAGCACATGAGACTCTTACCACAGTAAGTTTTAAAACTGATCACACCAGTATGCTAACCACTCCCATGACCAAATACCAAACGAATAAATGCAGGGCCAAACGTTGCTTATGTGCCCAAAGTGACCAATATCATTGACCAAACCTTAAACAAATTGAAGTATTGAAAATTGATCGTAGTAACTGATGAATATGCACACAAGAATAGATAGGAACGGTCGAGACGGCGACAGGCTCCACGATTACACATGTCAGGTACATGTTTTTACTTCGTGGTTGGCCACCAAGATTACTCCAAGGTGTTACAATAAATGTATACAATGTGCCAGTAAAATCCCAACCAGTATGCTAAAATGGTGGAAAACCAGCAGCTGCCCAAATGAAGAAGACATCAAGTCAGGAGCGAGTCCTGTGACCTAATAGTGTCCCGCTTCTTCCCGAATAGATGGAATAGAAGGAATCGGAATCGTCTGTCCCGTTGGGGTGCTGATGGGAACCCGGGGAGGACAGGGAAAGATCCCCCGACGGGACACGCCTTCCCCTGGTCCTCTGGATCGGGGACCGGACCGAGCGACGGTTATTGTCCCCGCCAGGGGTAGGGTAGTGTGTGCTCGACAGGGAGAATCTTCATGATGGAACGAATGCGGACGGGGACGATGGGCCGATGGGCCTATGAGCCTTGTCGCTTGCGCTGTTTGGCCTCTCCAGGGACACCGGAGCCTAGCAGATCGTTAGGAGCCCCAGGGGGGTTTCCTACCAGCGTTGCCCGCTTCGCAGGGTCGACCCGGATCGCCGCCATGGTGACGACGACAACGACGAACCTTTCCCTTGTGAGGTGTCAGCTCGGGTGTGTTTCTCGTGTGTTTCTCATTCTGGATCCCCGACGATCGGGATTGGCTTCTGCCATCGGTCTGTCCCAGGAGGACAAGGAGGAGGGTCCGAGCGAAAGCAAGAGTCGATCTGCACCTTTCTCGAGCTCGATCACATTGCGGTACATCCGCCGGTGCAGGGCGACTTCGAGTTTGTTGTCAATTATCGGTTGTTCTAGTTATAGAGGGTTTAGTTAGCCCTAGCTCGTCTTTTCTCGCACTGCCGGCGTTCGAGACCTCTTCGTTTGGTACTGTGAGTTTGAAGCGGGTCAGTGCCCTTTGCGTCAATGAGATTCACATCCATCCAGCTCTGCACATTGTGCGTTTATACTTTCTAGTGGGCTTGTCAATTGTGCGAACCCCAATTGACAATTGATGCGGTGCTGCCCACAGCCTTATGATATTGTCGCCACGAGACTACAGTGCTACCTTCCTCCACGCCGATCGAAGCTTCGAGCACTTATTCCTTCGGGAATTTTAGTAAAATTGGCGTCACAGTGAGAGTTTGATACCCCTTCGATCCTGATCAGCTGATCCAAATATTCGTCTAATGTGACTGAGACTCGACCAATTTCCCCTATTATATCAGCCTATTATATGCGAATGAGAGTGCAATGATTAACTGCCTCGAGGATCACACGCTCTATCCTGTCTACCTTCTTCCTCGGCTAGCAACATGAACTGTTTCCTGACCGGTCACAACTCAGACTCGTGCATCATCAAAGTTTTATTTTACTCGTAGGTAGATGAACAGGTACCTAGTGCGCAAGTCAAACACGATAGGTATCGAGAAGAATCCGTGATTTCTCATAGGGCTTCACTTCAGAATCATGTTTCAGAATCATGTTTCGAGACATGAGGACTAGTTGTGTACCGAAAGTGTGCTATTGAATGCAGGACAGGATGCACGCCACCACGGAGTTGGAGCATACTCGGGTGGGTGCAAGGCTCGTGAGAGCCTTGCTAAAGAGGTTCGTATGTTCCGGAGAAAGCCTTCGGATATATATTGCTGCCAGTGCTTTCCTCAGTAATTATGGTGCGTAGAATACACTCATCACAATGAGTTTCTCAGACTGATACGAATTCTTAGCTTGACAGACCGTAAATCCTCTGACACCATCGGATGGATGGGGGAAAGCTCGGCAGACTCCTGAAACCCTGTAACAAAATTTTCTATAACAAAATTCCTAAGAGCATCCATGACCTGTAAAACGATTAATCTAGAAAAGGATGGGCCCGCTACTACGCTGTTAACTCTGGATATGACCTGGGTCCAATCAGAACTCACATGTTTAATCCAGAACATTGTTCACCGACGTGGTGATGGATGCCTCGAGTAGTAGATTGCACTCCAGAAACTCTACTTTCGGATATTCCACGCAACCAGCTACCGAGGGATTCGTGGACAGAAGAAACAACGGACTTTACAAGATGAGAAACATACACGACCAGCAGGCTTCAACTCCTTAGCTTAACTGATTCTTTCGATTCTTTAGCTTGGGCAAGGGAGTTCGCAAAACTCGGGAGCTCCTGTCGTTGCTCCACTTGCATCGTGAGCTTGGAGACTGCGGAATGCGATGAGGCTGAAGTTGCGTGGTACGTTGAAACTGCAAGCTGAGCAAAAGCGGGTAATGCTCCACCTGCAAAACGAAGGTGCGGTCTCGTCTCAGCTCGGCCCATAACTCTCATGGCTAGGTCTCTGAAGAGGGACCTCCAAATTTCCGTGTCATGTTGCACGCCGCAAGACTCAATAGCTGGTGAACGAAACACTTTTCTCTACAGCAACCGAAGAATAAGAAGAACTGAACCTTCCAAGATTCGCATCTTGACTTGCTATTATGCAATCCCTACAATTGACTGTCAGCAGCGAAGGCTTGAGGTCGAAGTTAAGAGGAATTTACCGGCTAGGCCTGCACAGGCTACTGAGAAGAGCATGACTGGAGGCAGCTGCGCACCACCAAAGAGGCAAGCAGCGTTCAAGTTAATATCTTCCCCTTCTCGACACAAAGATGAAGCATCAATTCTGCAAGGAAAGAATAAAAGACAAGATCTTACCCCCACGAGAAATTGCAGCCAAAGGGGTCCTCTCACGTGCTTGTGAACAGGAGGCATCACTGTATTAATCAAGCACACACGAGAAATTATTTGAAATTCAGCCGAATCGGGACCACACATCGATTGATCTACTATACAGGTTGCAGAGACAACTGATCACAATCGTTGTGGACCATCGCCAAAGAGCACATTCGCCAATTCTGATATCGACAGAGAGCGACCGAGACAGGACGAAAAACAAGCATTACCTCCATAGCCAGACGCACTTATTGGACACATAACAGGAGGGGATCGGCGCGGCGTACCTCCGACAAAATCCCAAGACATCCACTAAGATCAATACCTAGACTATTTCGTGATCTTTAGAGAGGGTTCGAATCATACCCGTGTTGAATCCGTAAAACGCACTGGTGCTTCCTCCAACAGCTGTGCCTACCTGGTGCATTCCAACACGTTCAGGAATGTTCCAAGCTCATTCACGATATCACTCCAAACGCACATTTCACAGAAATTAGGGTACTCAAGATTTGTCGAGACCATCTCATCTCAGCTAGGGCATACCATGCAAGATCACAGCATCAAGGAGAATGAGACTTCGTAGACAAATGTACCACGGCGAAGCTTTCTCTCATAAAAGGTGCTATCGTCCAGCCGCTCGCCTCCTGCAAAATCGGCGGACAGACGGTCCACCATTTGTTCAGTCCACCAGCACAAAACTTGCGCCAGTCTGGCTCGTAATGCATGAATCGAAAAGGCGGCACTTTCTTCGACATGCGTCAGACCTTTGGGCAGATTGGCGCAATCAGAACATGGAGGTGATGTACAATTCAACCGATTAAAATTCTTGCAGAAACAATTGCACGATCGATAATCGTCATAAAGCACGTGTCACATTGCCATACAGCTATTTCGCCAAGAGATATCGTGTGGAAACTGCATGCTCCAAAATCAAGCACAATTTTCAACAGAAACTAGATTACCAGATCCTTGGACAGTGGAGCTGCACAGCGAGGGCAACGCGGTGAACCGATTCCGGGACTCATGGTAGGCGCATGATACGCCCCGGCGTAATTTGCCCTGTTCTTCGATTCCATGGCGAACCTGTCCGCCATCGCTCCAGGATTCACAATTCAATGCGGTCCAGACCACCTCAATTCAATCCGATTTTTTCTCCGACCGAAAGAGCCCCAAGCGGACGCCCGGCAATTCTTCCTCAATTCGGCAGTGCACCGCCGATGAACCTGTACAACGACGAGAACCCTGACCCCTCGTCTCCTCCTGCTCTGCTGTACACCGCTCTTGATCCGCAGGTGCCCTGCTCGCTGACGGCCTGCCTCGGCGGCTCTGGTTGCCGGAGTCCTCTATCTTAGGGCCAGTCTTGGCCCTTGCTTCGAATATACGCTGCGGCACTCGAGCAGAAGCAACGACATGAAGCTCCGCTAAAGTGACCAAATCCAGTTTTCGGTATCGGATTAGGAGTGCGCAGATTGGAAGCCCCTCGACTTTTTGCGGCGATGGTCTGAGAACCGAAGAATATCGGTGACGTAGGCCTGCGAATGCGGACAAGCGGCACTTCTTCTTCTGCTTCTTCTTCTTCTCGATTTGCAACGGAGAGCGAGAAATTCGTGGGGCTCCGAGGTCCCGACACCGGGGCTCGCTGCGTGTTTCGAGGGGGGACGTCCGTCCAGAAGGATGGAGGAGTGACGCTCTCGCCCGCAGTGTGCAGAATTCGGATTTGCGTGCCTCGTTGTGCGCAGGCGGGTGGAGTAGAGATTTTGGAATGTTGCCAAGGCATGCAAAAGTTTAGCGAGGCACTTTCTGCGATGTTCTTTCTGTCTTTTTCGAAGAACTGGGTGCCAATTGGGGCGTTCGAGACACTGCCTTTTGTGAGAGCGCCATGGAAGCAAGGAGCGATGGATAAAGTAGAGTTGGTAGAGTTGAGATGACGTCGTTTGCTACTCGAGAGCTCATGAGCTTAAACACCATTGTAATCTTGCAGCAGTTAGACCGACCAAGCATTTTGCACCGTCTGTCGACCCTCACCAGATCCAACCGGTGTCTTCGGTTCGTGATTCAGTTGTGAACCTTAAATGCGCTACTGGGAACGAAACTGCAACTTTCCATGAAAACTGCTTGACAAAGGGTAGGGTCCGAATCACACCATACGCAATCATCATCATCATGGATGATCGACGCTCATCGAGCTTGTGGTCACGCCACTGGTAGTATAATTCAGAGTTCTTGTATGACAACTAGGTTACTGCTGCTCTTGTGCAGTTGCTTTCTTTATCTATTGTACAGATTCGGTGGCTTGGCCTCGTCCTCCGAGCGTGTCATAGCACCGACGGTGGCACGTCTCAAATGGTCGGAGAATTCTTGCATCTGGACGCAGATTCGCCGAGGCTTTGTTGGACTCGACTGCCACTGAATCGATCCCTGGCCCCGCCGATGCATCCTCCTCTTTATTTACACCTTTACAGCGGTGTCGAAGTCCCAGCCTCCCTCGTCATACATCACCGTCGAAAAGACGATGATGCGTTCCGGACATGGCGAACCATGTTCGTGAGAAGGTTCGGCTGAGATTTGAGAAGATGGGGACTGCGCTATGTTCTTCTGGATGTTTGAGCTGTACGAGGATTCATGGACTACCAGCACCGGCAGTGCCGAAGGTGGTCATGTCGGCACCGTATTGCGCCTCCTGGGTGCTGTGGTCCTGGCAAGCAGTGTTCAGCCGTCGAACATAATTCGACCCATAGAGAGCCTGAGCTCCATGAATGTCGTCCACCGTCAGGTGTCGCTTCACCTGACGAGTGACAATGCTGGGATACATCACGGCTCCTTCGACATGTGTGTGGGCCAGCCCTAAGAGATGCCCAATTTCGTGGAGTGCCACAGTTTCTAGGTCGATAGCGTCCTCGTCGTCGTTGCTGTCCACATCAACTGTCCAGACCTCATCTTTGTCGAAATGAAACCTGCCATCTTCTGGAGCGAATGCGTGGGCTAGAATGCCCAGCCGACCATCAAATGGGTCGCCATCACCATGGTCTCCCCCGACGAACCTGATCTCGATATCTGCTTCCGTGGAATTGTCGGTCTCGGTGAAATTGACGGGAATTACACGAGACCAGGTGGCGAAGGCAGCAAGAATGGCTGCTTTTGCGTCGGTTTCAGCCACGGATGGAACGATGTCGATGGAGGAGAATGCAATGGTCAAATTGCGGCTCGACTGCCATTTTTCAGATGGCGCATAAACTGCCCAGTGGCCCTCGAAATTCTCGAGGTGGCCAAGAACACTTTCAGGAAGCGGGACCTTGCCCAATTGTTGACGCTCCAACATGAGGGGCCGGCCTTCTTCGACATCGGCTCTCCCGCACCGTGGAGAATGGAGCAGCCTCAGGGTGTGGTTGCTGAGCACGCCTGTGACTGGTATGCTGTGTCTCACCTGGTACAGCTTGATTGCATCCATCAAAAGCTCGTCGAACTCCAGAGACAGGTCTCCTTCTTTCTCAAGCTTAATGTATCCGAATTGCGAGAGGTATTGTTTGAGATCTGCCACAGCTTCATGCTTGTCCCCTCTCCGGAGATTTGCCAAAGCTCCAAATTTTGATGCCCATTTGCTCCTGCTTGGCCCGGACGAACCCTCCCTCTCCTCCGCGCAGGCGAATGTGACCCCCGTGCCTAATAGCGTAAATAGAAGAAGCTTCAAAGGCAGCATCTCGTTCGGGAGGAACAATAAACTGGGGAATCTGCTCAGGAACTGAAGAGCCCTTGAATTTACTCTTTGAGGCGATTCTAAAGTCTGGCCACCGTCCCTCTATCCTGTTGAATTTGCAAGGTCGGCTCGAGATTCATAGCAACATTCTGATCCAGATGCTGTTTTCAGCTGAAGAGATCGAGGAAACCAAAACAGAAGGAGGCTGGAATCACGATTCACCACTGGAAGTGGTCCTAAACCTTCTCAATACCATCCTGGTAGACCGTGCTTCACCGCTGTTGGCAAAATAGAGTCTAATTGAAGGAGAAATTTCTTTACAGAAACACTCCAAACATTCCAATTTTGGTCTTTTTGCTCTGCCCTCGTCTTCTTGCTTGCCTGCACTAGCACTGCCCTGGTCAGCTGAATCTCTGCTGCACTTCACTTTAATGGCTCCTACTCTGTTTTTCACGGCCCCCTTCAATTTGTCTACCTTGCTCAATTTCTGACTCACGACGAGAAAGACGAGAAGAGACAAAACTCATGTACACAAATGCTTTCCAGCTAACCCGCTTCTCATCATACATAATCCATAACATGTGAACACATTGCTACTCACCCTGGCAAATTTTAAGGGTCAGAAAGGCATGTACTGAGGGCAGTTCAGATTTATACTAGAAATGTCACAGCTGCTATCTGATGGTACAATCTGTGGACTGAGCATGGAATGTCTCCAGAAATCAGTGATTTGTCGAACTTTCTGATCGACCGAAAGCCCACTGCCTGCATTGGAGAAGGGCAGCTACCTTAGAAACCCCAGCGATCAAGAAACCAGCGGACAGCAGCAGTGGAATCGGAACCTCATAGAGGTCTTATAATTGAACCGAAAGAATTTGAGCTTTGAATGACCAAAGCTCAAATGAATTAACATGAAACAGAATTCGAAGACTGAGACACAGACTGAGATGCTGTGATGGGCCTGAATAGTAATCCTCACAAGAGAATCTTAACATTAAGAAAGTGGTCGATTCGATGAGAGGAAATTTTCTTATGATCAGACTGACCAACAACTGTCGAGCCGATCGAGCTCAAGCACGGTGTGCTCCAGAAAGTTACCTGCACTCGCTCGCAAGCTGCAAACAGAACTCGTGACGGACGAAGCTCCACAGTGACGTAGTGCTCCTCCGACCTGACAGAAGTCTCGATTGTCGGAAGGGGTGGATACGATCCACGAGGAGCTCGCCTCAGGCTGATGGATAGAAGATCTACAAGTTATGTTGAACATCAATCAATCCGAGGCCAACAGACTGCGCACTCCACCTCCACCTCCACCTGAGAGCTGCGAGCTGCTGCTGTTTAAACTCTAGCCACCAACTTCAGTCCGCAACAGAGAGAGTTCGACCACAGTGGTGACAGTCCGTCCCTTCCGTGAAAGCCCCCAAAGCCTACGGCCGCACAGCGTCCTAGAGGCTGACTGCTGTGCTGAGCTGCTCGATTCGTCGGTCAAGTCAAGACTTTTTCTACCCTTTTGCTTTTTCTCTTTCCTCGTGCACACCTCTGACTCACCGAGGGCCGGACTGCGACCATGGTGCCGTGTGTGCGACCGAAGAATGGTTTAATATTCGCCGACTAGCTCCTTCAGCAAACGGAATCCGCTCCACTCGTGAACACTCTGATCCATTGCCAGTTTGGAAATGCGTGCTCCGGGTGCCCGTCGTCAGTAAACCTCGTGAGCTGTACAGACTGAGCTTATGTTCCACTGCCACTACGACGAGATCATGATGGTTTTGACCGAGGCTTTGTCTCGGCGGGTCTGTCTGTGACAATGTCAACCGTTCCAGCCAGCAACCGATCATCAGAATGTGCACCAGGACAGCAGAATCCTGGCTCGATCCAATTTCGAGCGCACGACTTGGAGTCGTGCGAGCGAGTCGACGATGTTGCCCAGATTTTCTCTGGGACGACTCAGGTGCCCAGATTTTCTCCATGTTGACTCACTGTCCTTGCTTCCTTCAGGTGTGTTGAGAAAACACCGCGTACTGCAATAAGTAAACTGAGTTGAATGTTCATCGTTGAATTAAATGATCGATATCGAACATCTGATCAAAGATGCTCTTTGGAAAAGATCCAGCATCGGAGTGTTATCTAAGAATTACAAGTTGGAAATATGTTTTGTACTCCAAGTAATGTTAAATTGTTCATTTGTAATGATCAAGATGTGAAAATAAACTTTGAATAAATGATATTATATTAATTATATGTACTGCAAACTCTCGAAGATAAAATATTTCAGTTTTGAATGATGATTTAATATAAGAATGAAGAATAGTTTTGGATCATTGATCGAAAAAAAAACCTTTTCTACTCATCGGTATTTCAATAGCGTTAGCGTATGACTTTGTTGTGGTCGATGTATTAAATAAAATTTCAATAATATAAGATATATGTTTTAATAATTTGTTTGAATTCAGAAATGATTAGATTAAATTTACTTGTATAAATTATCAAATATAATCGATATTAATCATTTAATCATATTTACATTTTTGATGAGTACAAGAATATTCTTGAGTAGAATAGCAAAGTTCTTGCCACAAGCAAAGCCAACAACAAAATTGTGAATTTTGAAAACACTTAGAATGCTCATGGAAAAAATCATGTTGATGTTGCAATCACTAAATATGGTGTGAAAAAGGAAAAATATAAGAAAAATAACAAAATTGCTAGTACTCTCAAGACATACAAGATAGAGAATGCCGTGGCCGTGATTCTCAAGAAGATGATGAAGTTCGTTGTGGACTTCCGCAAACACTTCCGTCACTATGGATTTGACAATTGTGTTCGCGGACGCCAACAGTAAATTTAATTGTGATCAAGATGTATGCAAGAGATTGTGAAAGTGTTGTGGAAAAAAGTAGTACTACTTGAAGAGAATAGAAGATTTTTGGCAAAAATCATGGTAATGTGTATCGAAACAATCTCACTTACTCTCATTATCACATGGATATACCTTGTGAAAATTGTGCTTGCGGTGTACTCCACAAATTTAATCGTTTACTTTATAATCATCCCAACGATCTTCTTTCTTTCGGTCTTAGCTAACTTAATAGCACTAGTTTTTGCTTTTTCTTATTCTTGCTCACATCCAATTTAATAAATACATCTTCTTCAATTCATCTTGGTGAAAGCTTGCAAAAACTGCAATGTGAATTCAATTTATGGTGCAACAGCGCTAATACAAAATAGAAGGAAGGCAATGCCATGCAAACCAATGCTTAACGAGCAACAACGAAGAAGAAAAAGATAACATACCAAAGAGCATCAAACCGCCGTGCCCATACAAACCCCTTGCCTGGAAGAAGAACTTCAAAAACACGTAAATACCAACTCCAACGTCCAAAAGTTCATCTAACTCAAACCACAAAACAAACTGGAAATACAAATGCAAAAAATCCACGAAGCAAACCTTCATGTACCCAAGCCCATGAGAAGCACCCATACAATCATGCGGAAAATAGAAAAAAACAGAATGGACAGAGCAGAGCTACAATAGAGGGCTCAAACAAAGCTCCAAAGAGTAAGAATTCAAACGAAGATAAGTTTAAGCATTCAGTCTCACAACTCTGCCCAGAACCACTATCTGATACTTAGCTAAAAACCACATGTTGGAGATATGCATCTTCAAGGAAAATTGCAAAACAACCAGTTGTGGCTCAAAATCTTGAAGATAAAGTTAGGATTGGAACAAATCTACAACACTCATAGCAAAAGACAAAAAAATCAATTCCGAACGCTACTCCCGTCGTATGTGGAGAGCTTCTGTTCTACTATCTAGACTTGTGGATAGTGTTTGTTCTACCGTCCATATCATAGTAACTATCTAAAAGTTTGTTGAACCATCTCTCAATTCTAGTAGCGAACTTATAAATTTATGAGTTTTGAAGCATTTGAGCAATGATCAAAAGCTTCTTTGAATGTGTACAAATGTTTGAATCTCTTCAAAGAACGATAGCCTTATCAACAATTTTGTAAACTCTAGCTTGAATGAAAAACTTAAACATCAAGATTAGATTAAACAACATGATTCCTACTAAGTCAAATATGTTTAAATATTTCAGTCATCAGCATCAAGTCAGATCCGCCTTGAACATCACTTGATTTTTTCAGGCTAGGCAAAAGATGCACAAGATTATTTGTTTGCTCAAAAATATTCTTGTGGCTAATGCTCTACCGACGCAACTTGGTCACAACATCCTAGATACTCCAAACGTAAAAAAACACATATGAAGAATAGATTTAGTAGTGTCGCATCTCCTAGATCATAGTTTTTCGCCATGACCTATAACAGTCTAGTTTATTTTTTGTAGAGATCATAGTGAAGAACACATCACATGAAAATTTTGTCTCAATTCACATTCCACCACGACAAAAAACTAGCAAACAACTTACACTAGTCATCTTTAACTTATATGAGTCAATTCACATTCCACCACGACAAAAAACTAGCAAACAACTTACAGTAGTCATCTTTAACTTATATGAGTGTCAATTTAGGTGTTTAGCAATAAACATGTGGTGGACACAATCTTTATATCGGAAATTTGTTTCTTAAGTGAAATAAGCAGTTACTTGATGATCTTTCAGCTTTTAGCCAGTGCTTGAAGTCAAAAGAAAAATCATTAATTACTTTCAAACTTAAAAACTTTTGAAAAAATATATGTATGGAGTAATTTTCCTCAATTCGGTTAACATTAAATTACCCTTGCACATAGCCCAAAAAAAAAGTCTCTATTTTGATCCAAATAGATGCAACATGAGTAATTTTCAATGCATCAGTTCTATCAACAACTTTTTTGTTGTAACATTATGCTTAAGAGAAAAGTTCACTCAAAGATCGAAACATGAAATCTGAAGATGAGAGATATCAATAATGATTTTTTCCCTTAAATAGCTCTTACCAACAAGTACAAGGAGATAAGATCTTATAGCCACCATCCAATCCATTCAAGTGGATTTATGACATGACGGATATACCTTATGAGCACGCGGATTGCTGACATGTCGCTCCTAGTTAACACATCAACTAGCACATTTAATCTTTAATTAACAAGCACACAGATTGATGACGTGTTGTTTCCAACTAACACATTAACTAACACACATATTGCTGACGTGACACTCAAGTATTCCACTATCATATACTCTACTCAATCTTGAATACTCCATTTTAGTTATAACTAACTAATGATGGTTACAAATCTCCGTACTTTTAAGGTGCAATGTTATCTTTGCACATACATTCAAACTCTTGAATTATCAAAGGTGCATTTCTTAAAATTTTAGCTTGATGCCAAGCGGATTGATATGATGGATAGCTTTTTCATTGAATCAATTTATTGAATATCTTTTCTACCTTAAACTACTTAAGATCTATCATCAATGTTGAAAGAGTAAGTGATGCTAGTTAGTTGGTGAATTATTTTAGTTGTGATAAATGTTTTTTCAATCATTACACATGAATATCGCATGTATTTTCGTATGTGACGAAAGTTCCAACTTGTATTACATTTCACCAACACGCTTCAAAATCAAAAATGTATCAAGAACCTAGTACTTAACTTTGGTATTTTTATGAGAGACAAATTTGTTGTAGATTATCAAACATGATATCATACCTTAAAAAGCAATCCTCTACGATGAGCATCGGCATGCTATTTTTGCCGATTTTGAACTATCGCCAACTTCTCCTTGATCTAATGTAGTACTCTATCAATATGCTCTACAAACTCATTAACTACAGCAACATTGATCAAAAACTACTCTCCAATCGGAATATGCATCAAACTTGAAGGTGTTAAGGAATAAGCATCATACATGAGGTAAAATGGATACACTTTGATGTGCATTAACAAATTTGTTATATGCAAATTCTACAAAAGTGAAAAGTGTGTACCACTTTTCTTCTAAATTTGGGCAAAGTAGATGTAATCATGCGAGTCAAACCGTTTGCAAAAAGTTTTTTTAGCTTCAGCTTGTTGAATCACGCTTGCAAGTCTAAATTTTCTCTTACATCAATCCATAAAGGCCATTTCATCCACTTTACTTTCGTTCTTCTCTGTAATAATTGATTTTTTTCATAAAAAATGTCTCGTATGCTAACGGAAAAGAGTTTGTCGTCATCATTTCCTTTCGTGCTAATAAAAGTGGGACTATTTTGAGAGTCATTTTTCCAACTTTTTATAGGTAGTATGCTTTTTGAATCTTGGGCTCGAACTTGAAGTTTATGAGAAGTAAAATAATCATATCTGCAAATACTCTCCAACAACTCAATGTCTTGTGCAAACTTTTTCATCTATGATCTGAGATCTGTTTTTGACACACGAATCAAGCTTGGAGAAACTTGATTCGTGTGATTGGTACCACCTCAAAACGAGTACCTAAAGACATCCTTTGCATACTTTTGTCTTGTTCTTGCAAAAGTGTGAACTATGTGCCTATAGAAAGTCGATTGGATCATTCTGCAAAGTGAAGAAGTTGTCAAATGATGACATCAATATGAATATATTTCTTGGATTTATCTTATGCAAATTTGATGAGGAGAGTGTTTTCCATCCTAGGAGTTGTAGGCTTGAAAGTATTATTGCGCCACTTCTATGTAATGATGTACTTGTTGGAAGTGATGAACATGGGATTGTCTTAACATTGATAAACCAAATGTTCTTGTCATTTGCATCAATATCATGAGTTTAAAAGATGTGTAATTGAATGAAAATACATGGACACTACTTGTTGAATTTAACCACAAATCATATCAAACCTCCTTTCGATGCAATTATTTGATGCAAGCATGGAAGACATGACAACTTGTTCAATCCATCCTGCCAAGCGGTAAAAGAACATGATCCAAGGTTATTGCAATCTCCAACAGCCATTGGATTTGCATTGGAGAAAGATTATGAGAGCTCATCCATACCAGATAACACGTTTATACGTCGTCATGTTCATCTGCATTTTTATTTCATCTAAGAATGATAAATTTTTGTTGTAGATTCCCGATACGAGTCTAGACAAAGTTGAATCATTGTCTTTCATCGTATTCAATTTCAGTGAAAGTTTTTACTTCCTATTTAGATAACGTTTTGGACTAAGAGTATTCTATTTTGTACTTGCTCACCATCAATCTTAGACATGATCTAAACTTATACCTCTTTCTATGAAACATAGGACTGTCGTGTTATTTTATTTTTTCTTGTCTTTTGTGCACTTTTTTCAAACAGATTTTGAGATAAAAATCTTACTTAGACAAATCATTGCCTCATTGAATTCTTTATTGAAATCACCATTTTCATGCCAAAATTTACAGATATCTTTCACTAGAGCAAACACAACGCAAATTGGAGCTTTGAGAGATAATCATCATGGTGTAAGAGTAATTTGATAATTTTCAAACTGCAATTTAAAAACATGAAATCCCAAAAGTAGAAGAAAAAAATTCTCCTTGATGAAACACAAGTTAATCGCAACAAACTTCAGCTCAATCGTTGAGACAAAACATTACACAATGACTTTCAAGAACACCAACTGTCGCTATCGCGGCAGTCTCAAATATCTCATTTTAAAACTGAGATTCAAGCTCTGTTTTGAAATTCTAGAATTTTGAAAATTCATCTTATGAATAAAATCAAATAACAACAACGTAAACATTGCTCAAATTTATCAATAAAAAACAAAAACATAAGAAAACTTTTGTCACTTGTTGTTTTTATCCTGTTATTGCATATAGTTGCTAGATTTCTCTATTCCGTGTTTCACGGACCTTTAGGATTAAGCCAAGTTACATTTTTTTGATCTTCCTCAATTCATCTTTTATCTACCATTTGGTTGGTCTCAAAAATCTTGTCACTTTCTTTCTTTCCAAGATTTTCAAATTGCTCATACGTTTTGTTTTGTGGTAAACGCTTTGTGCTTAGACTTTAAAATCTTCTTGTATTCTTCATGAGTCATCTTGTTCTCTTTCACTCTTAATTTCATCATAACCATAACTTTTTCTAGGGTAGATGAGAGTATTATGGCTTGTAACATGAGTCTTTTTTATTTCTCCATGAATAATAATTCTATGCTCCACTTTGCTTGTGGTAAGGGTTTTGCGCTTCTCTTCAAGAACCTTCTTGTATTTGTCCAAAATCATTTCATTGTCTTACTCCTCAATTACTTTTTGTCTCAATACTTAGTGCTTGCGACATCAACATGGTTAATCTAAAAGAAACTATTATCTACTAATCTTCACAATTTCTTGTACACATCTCAATCATCATCAGCTTCCCTTTTGGCTATATTAGAAACATATCATTTTAGCTCATTGTCATTGTTAGATCCGTTTTGACGATTGTGATTGCGACATACTCAACGAATTTCATCTTCTTCTTTAGAATCACGGCCTCCTTTGTCTCTGCCTTGAGAGTACTATTCATTTTGTTATTTCTCTCGTCTTCTTTTTTCTCGCCATACTCCATGACAATATTTGTTTTTTAAATAAAATTTCAATAATACATAATGCATGTATCAATATTTATTTAAATTTGAAAAATGAAAAAATATTTTACTTCTACATGATATGTATAGATATTTAACCAATAAAGCGATATGATAATTTATTCATATTCATACCTTTAAACCATAATCCGAAATATCTTTTAGTCATATTATTATTTACATTTCAAAAGAATAATGTATGTGGTGAATCATATTCCAAAATTGTATTGAAATATGTTTTTTTAACCAAGAAAATTTATCCAAATATGCAATAATTTTTTACCAATTATGAAAAATGCAGCAACATTTGATGTATCTTTGGTGTATTGATTTTAAAAAGATTTGGCATAGCTCAATTTTTTTCCACATATGTTTATCAAGATATATTATCAATAAAAAAAAGAATATAAGGAATAGATCAATATATCAATAAAATAGAAGGAAAAGCTCGATCTCATATCTTAAGAATTTAAAGTTCAGAGGTGAAATAACAATTGTTCAAAATTAACGCATTGTGCTGAAATACATCGAATCAACACATGTTTGGAGATTTTCTCATTCAAAATGGAAACGAAATTGATAGCAGCTTGAACTTGAACCGAGCGCGAGGGAAGTAAAGCCACTTCCGCCTCATGTGCTTCTTTCTTAAAGTCGAAGAAGTTGCCTTCAGATCGTGCACGGTGCAAAAGCAAGAAAATGTTCTCCTTTAATATTCGAGAATGTCATAAAAGTAACGCACGGTCAACGAATAAGCTTTCCAGCGAAGCTCATCAGCGTTATGACTCATAACGCTGATGAATCATCTATTTATCTATAGAGGTAAACCAGACGACTACTACAAGCAAGCAATCATGAATATCTCCAATGGGTGCAAGCAAGCAACCTGCGCCCCTCATGGACTTCATGAAAATAAATAAGACAATAGAATTCTTTAAATTTTGACAATGAAAATAATCATTACGAAGAGAAAATTAATTATGGGATCTCTGCTCAACGCCAAAACATTTGGTGAGACCCTAGATGATTTATTTTGCCTGATGAACACAAGTTCTTCTTCTTACGTGTGTATGATTTCAGAAGTGGCTTTCATAAAGTGAACAGATTGGAAAAGCAAAAGTACGACGTCGAGGAGTTGATAATTCTAGTTTGCCATAGTGGGTAAAGTGAATAGTATTGTGTCTCCTCAAGTGTTTTGAGTTCCGGAGGGGTACATTAAATAAAATCCATTACAACACAATATCATCATCTATATTTGAGTCAATTCATTATTCGAGTTATTTATTATCTTCTACAATTCTCGTTAAACATCTCTGTTCAAAAAAGCTCACACGGTTCGATTTATGCATAGTTATTGCGAACAAGATGTTTCATAAAAAATTATGCTTATTATATACGAAAATCGAATTTTTGATTTTTCAGAGGTGCCGGGGGAAAAGGCTCAAGAAAATAGTTAACCTTTTGCGACATTAAGGTACACGAAAAATGGTACATTTTTGCGAGAAATCGTTCAGACGGGAGGTGGTTGTCTTGTCCCTTTCCTATTTACTTCTGCAAAGTTGCTGAATAAGTTCATTATGATGATAAATCTTGCACTGTAGGGGCGGAACGAGGATGCACAAGGACAGGACACGACACGACAGGAGACGAGAGGAGAGGAGGGGAGAGGAAAGTAGAGCAGAGGGTCGAGAGGTGAAGTGTCGAGAGGAGGAGGAGGAGGCGAGCGATATCCGTTGCTCTGGCATCTCATCATCTCCGAGACTCGAGACTCGAAGCGCGATTGTCGTCCGTCGGGGTCAGCGCGAGCGCATTTGCTAATTTCTGCAGCGTTTGGAAGCATGGAGGCACTGGCGGTGAAGACGCCGGTGCCCGTGGTGGCGTCGCGCGGACTGTCACAAGGCTGCTCGTCGACATCCGGACTCGCCTCGCTCGAATTGTGCCCGAGGTTTTGTAAATTGGCTGGGTTTAGGGCGGAGCAGAAATGGAGTCAGACGAGGAAGATTGCAAGGTCCCGCGTTGTTGCGAGCTTGCCTGGGCTCGATACCCGGAGTTTTTACGCGCCCGAGGCTCCGAGATTGATGGATTTGGACCCTACTACGAATCTTTTGCAGCAAAGGATCATCTTTCTGGGTTCTCAGGTGCGGGGTTTTCCCCTCTGCTCTTTCGCTCTCCAGTTCGTTGCTCCGGTGTGTTGAAATTGCCATGTTTTCAGCTGGGCCTGTAGAGCTATGTCTGTGTGCGGGAGGTGTGAATTCCGACTTTTTTTCTCTTCCCATGCCCAGCCTTGGGTGCGTGGTCTTTTGATGTATTGGCACAGTAAATTTGAACAGTCCACAACATTGTCTGTTTTATTTTTTTGGATACTGACAGTTTGGGGATGATGTTTTCTGTGTGAGCTATGGCTGGTTCTAATATTTTCAGACATACGTCTCAAACAATTGGTTAACTCTTGGCCTTGCTCATGTTCTCAACCATGCATGACTACGGGAGGAGTATGTTCAGGCAATTTGACGCTTGACTGGTGTGTTTACTAGGTTGAAGATATGACTGCCGATATTATCATTAGCCAGATGTTGTTGTTGGACGCACAAGATCCTACGAAGGATATCAAATTGTTCATCAATTCCCCTGGTGGATCAGTAACTGCAGGTACATTATATTCGTGTCTCTTCGTCTCAAATACGATTTGCTATTCGTTGGGATGCCAAAAACAAATTGGCGAACGCGTTTATAAAATCCTTAGTTTGATCATGCATCTAAGATTAATATGGCTGGTAATAGGTATGGGAATATATGACGCTATGAAGCTCTGTAGAGCCGATGTGTCGACCACCTGCTTCGGCCTAGCAGCGTCCATGGGCGCCTTCCTGCTGGCTGCTGGTGCTAAAGGAAAACGTTACTGCATGCCAAATGCGAGGATTATGATTCATCAACCCCTAGGAGGTGCAGGAGGATCGGTGAGTTTTATTTGCTTCTTCTTGGTTTGCTGTTTAGCTCAATCTCCTAGGTGACCTATACAAAAAGTTTTGAGTAACTTTTGTAAAGTATGATGAAGAGAAGGAGCCGATTAGCCTACCTACAGATCACGTGCCAATTTTGGCCAAAATAATCATTAGTTTTTTTTGTGCTAACTAGGTAACTTAATTCATTTCATACATGATTGACGTTTGCGTTTTCCTGGTTTCGAAGTGCAAGGATCCTTACCGAAGAACTCCAGTTTTTGCAGTTGTTGTTCCCACGATATCTTGTTTTGGAAGATTCTCAACCATTGTGTTTTTTACAGGCCATCGATGTTGGACTACAAGTTAGGGAGATGATGTACCACAAGAGAAAGATGTGCAAAATCATGTCTCGCCTCACGGGAAACTCTGAGGAGAAGGTATTGGGAACATTTGTGGGTTTAGTGATCCTATAAATTAAGAAAGTTCACTTTTGTCACCTATCTTCGGCTTGGTATCCTAAGAGTTGCCACTACGATTTGACGCAGCTTGTTTTAACACCAAGATGAAGTTTTTTGATGTAGTTAGAAGAAGTAAGAAGTCTTGTGTTTTCTGCAGATCAGATTTGCTACTCAGTATAGATGATATTCCCGTTTTAGCTTGTACTCGCTGCATGTGCTTAATACTGTTTGTGAGTCAACGTGAGTTTTGAGATAAGTCATGTAAAGGATGAAAATCTAAATTAGTCAACGAGTTCACTATCTGACTATCCTTGGAAACCTCGATGCAGATTGAGGAAGATACTGATCGTGATTACTTCATGAATGCTTGGGAAGCCAAGGAGTACGGATTGGTGGATGTGGTGATAGATGACGGGAAGCCCGGCCTTGTAGCTCCTTTAGGAGAAGTCAAGGAGCCCCCGAAGTCACGAGTTTGGGATATGTGGACAGTGAAAGAAGGCAAAGCCCGAAAGGAATTGCCCACAGAAGAAATATATGAAAAGTCAAGTTCAGATGTTTCAGAACCCGTGGAAAGTACGTAGCCTAGACTTACGATTTACTTGTACCAAAGAAAATATATTTTATTCGAATTGTTCAATCGTCCTTTGAGCGCTCTTTACATCCTTGTGTTCATTGGCAAGACTGCAGCTGTTTATGTGTCGTAAAGAAAGTTGTACTACGTGTGTATCAACATGTCAGATATGCGGTCTGGACTTGAAACGATCTGGTAAATATTGGATAAACGTAACATTTGTACTTGATTCAAATTGTCTGAGGGTTCTTTCGTAACTTTATCCACTTTTTCTGCTAGGACATCCCTGGTATCTTAAGTTTTGTTTTTCTCAGTATAGCTGGTCTTTTTGCCGTGTCCCCTTCCATGTCTTGTTCCTGCGACGATTTTTTCTTTCGTATATCTCTATCTTCATTTACATCTTACATCCTGCCTTTCATCTCTCGTCTGCATAATTCGGCAGAAGAGGTTAGTTTTATCAAAGACAGAAATCTAGCTCGAATGGGACTTGAGTTCTGAGTTGTATCCTAATGTATGTTCTCTAACCAGGAAATGTATGTTCTCCTTTCCCGGCCATACGCAGCAGAGCAGTTGTGGACTTTCAAACTTTTGTACGCACTGTTGTTTTCGTGTGTCGTATACACTCGTAACTTCAGATCATATTCCCTTCTTTGATAAACTTAACCTGTCCGTGTTTGATTGTATCCTGAAAGCTCATTTCACTTGGTATGTTTACAACTCTACTTGGGATGTAAAGTCATAACCATCTGTTGGACAGATACCGCCTGGATGATTGGTCTACGGTAGGTAGCTTTTAATGGGATTTCTCAGATCAACATGAAATGCGCAAATTGCAACGGAGGGAAATTGAAAATCCCTCAACACTCTCTTTAAGAGATTGATCATGGTAAGGTTGCAGCTCTCGCTAGACATTGTTGCACATGGGTCATCTATTAGTAGCTTTCCAAAATATTCGACCATCAAGTTACGAATTGAATGTTCTAAGCAAAGCAAAAGTTGTCGTTGTACCATCTTGACTATTGTGTGGTTATTGAGACGTAGTTATTACCAAGTGCGCTGCCTTCGATTTGTTTCATTAATCATAATCTGAGTACGTATGCAATGTCCAAAGTAATGTTGTCCTAGAATGATACCATTGCTTGTTGCATCAATTGTTTAGCAATCAGCATGCTGTGATAAGTTAGACTTCGAAGTTCAAACTAGTGCTGACAGAATCAGATATTTTCTATTTAGAGCTTGCTTTCTTTTACTTATGTCCAAAAAAGAGAAACTTACGACGAGCTCCTGGTAGGTGATACACTTCTTCTACTGTAAAACTTAATTAGATTCCACGTAACCTACTAGCAATTACAGCCAATTACAGTGTAGATGCAAAATGCGTAGGGCCAATTTTACTCCTCTTTCAAACAGGTGTCGGGAACAAATTCGAATTCTGTTGATTATTCTCTAAAACTTATGTAAAGAGATAGTTTTCAATAATGTAGGTAATTACAAGAAACAAATATAATGTGAAAGAGATAGGTGTGTGTCTGACTTTCCATAAAGTCCAGAATATGTAAGAGTTTGATTACCTTCTTACCTAACCAAAACACCTTCACTGTGGATGGAGGGAATCGAATCGAATCATTTGTTCACTCGACAGAAACCTAATGAGTGAAGGCCGTGGCATTAGGCTTTTCATACTTTCCATTTTGTCCGATGACCGTATGCACCTTAGCTAACACTAAGTCTGCTGGTCATTAACTCATATAATAGTTCACTGACGCCACATGCATATGAGAGATGGTATTGCCATGTCGCACACAATAAATTCAATCCACCAAGACAGCAAGTTGACAAACCGGTTTTCTCGCCAAAGAATTTTGAAGTCGAACGTTTATTGTAACTTTCGGTTCTCGAGTGTATTCTGTGTGAACCTGCTCAAGCGTGCCGACAAATGCTAGTAGGTCAAATCTGTACATGAAGGGCTGTTGAAGTTGCTAGTATAATTTTCTACAACTCCAGTATCACTGCAGCCTGACTCGAGGCGCGGAATGGGTAGTCTTGAGCGGTGACTATCTACGTTCAATGGCAGGACACTTCACTCCGTTCCATCGCATGTGAAACATTGATTGGACAAGAAGTTAAATGAATGCTCTGAATCTCACAACATGAGACCTCAAGTTCCCATCATAGGGTCACAACTATCATTGGTCCTTAGAACTCTGTGGTAGCACATGGACTAACGTCAAACACTAATGGTACAGCAGTTGGTAGCACACTGATGGTACAGCAGTTGACGCAATCAAGAGAGATGGTTACAACTTTCCTCGAAGAATAGAACGTGTCCTTTCATATATACCTGATCTGACCTCACTTGACTCCAATTTTCCACACTTCCCATTTCATTTTCTGACTTCAAAGATGCAAATGCACTACCATTAGTCGGTATCACTTGAGGCAGGGGAACTACGGCCTTTTTCTCACATGATGCTAGAAGCAGAAAAAGAGCGCAATATGCCAGCCACACTTCATTCCATTAGCACCTCAAATGTGTTTGGGTTCACCTCCCAATAAAGCGGCATCATTGAAAATAGGATAATACAATATCCATTCGATTCCCTGAACTTCATTTCAAAATTTTGCACAGTACAATTTATTCTATCTGGATCTTTTTCTCAAGTACAATGTACACGACCAGTAGTCCCTAGCCCGCTCGCATCGAAAGAAACAAAATGGCTGAGTAATTCTTGGAGTTTCCACCCTGCCTGGATGTGATACACACCAATCCAGTAAAACCTCAGTGTACCAGGTCCATTGATATCCCTTTGCGAAGATCACGTGAGACGGAAAGAGCTTATAGAAGTAAAACAAACAAACACGCAAACATGAAACTACTGTCCATTGTAATCTCCATGAGAAGTACTAAGAGCAATGCCAAGAGGTGAGGCCAAACACTCCCCTTTTGTTTTACAGACGAGCTCTGAACCCACAATCAGCTAAACTCTAATACACGGACACATTCCATCTTTCGAAAGGCACAAAATTTGGGATTTAGTACAAGGTTAACTGCCAACATTACAGATTGGATAGTATCTACTACTTATGGACAAAAGCTCCGTCCTGCGGGAAGATTTGGTTAGAAAGATCCACTTCTACTTGTACAAGGCACACCCAGGCGATCCTCGCTTTTAAGCTCAACAGAAGGGTGTTTCCTTGACACCTCCAACCCCTTGATACTTTCCCCTATAACTCGCGCCGACAGTCCCTGGCGCGGGATCTTTAAAGCCTCAGGCTAGAGCAGATGCTACTCCAAGGACAACTCTCTTTCCATGTCTGTAGTGCAACCTCTCTATTTCCCTCAGTGCACCACGGCATCGTGCTCTCCAAAGACAGTCTGAAACTCAGCCAACGGTACAGAGTGTACTGAGGAGAATGAAAGAATATTTGCAAATCATCTATGCTAGAAAATACCTCGGCAGATGTTACCGACATCACAGGTCAAAAAGATGTGACGTACCACTTTAACTTTGAGCGGCAGGGGCAGGGGCAGGAGGCGTTGTTGCAGGCTGTGTGGAGCCATTATATTCGTACCCTGAACTGGCTGCTTGGGGTGCAGTTCCATCAGCGGGCTGAGTGTATTGCGCAGGCTGTGTATATCCCTGCTGTGCATAACCCTGTTGACTATAAGTTTGCTGATCCCCTTGGGCTTGCCCATAGCCATACCCACCATTGTAGGCTTGCTGCCCGTACCCTTGCTGAGCATAACCCTGCTGGGCATACGATGATTGGTCACCGTAGCCCGCAGCCTGCGGTTGCTGGTAGCCACCGTAATAACCCTGCTGGCCGTAACCATAGGTTGTATCTGTGGTGGCGGCTGGGGTGGTTTGCTGGGTCTGCTGACCTGGTTGAGCATAATAATCATAGCCACCCTGAGCCTGTGGCTGCTGGGCAGGGGCGGCTGTCCGCTGATCCCATCCAGAAGCATAACCGGCAGTAGAAGTCTGTTGAGGATATCCCCCTCCATAGGCGGGAGGTGGAGGACCGGGATACTGCTGGGGAGGTCCAGGATATGGTGCCGGTTGCTGGTACCCATAGCCGGGCTGCTGCATAGGAGGTGCAGCAGGGGGTCCCCATTGCTGAGGACCTGGTGGCCTGTAAGCCCCTTGCTGATTATAGCCTCCAGGTGGACCTCTTGCGCGGTTCTGAAACCCACCACACAACCAAACAGATAAAATCAAAAGTACGCCAAAAAGGAGGAGCAGCAGTAAGGTCCAGAGCCAACAAACCTGCTATATGATTTCTTTTCAAACATGAAGCTCATCCCGCTTCACTTTATCCCACACTAGGTTTGGATGTGATTCTAAAAGGACAGATCACAATACAGGACAGCACACCGGCGAAAATAGGCCAAGGACATTATTGAAGCACTGACTTGAAGGCGTCAGAAGGCAAGGTCTATTTTCACAATGGCAGTGTGTAGTCATGAGAAGGGCAGGAGAATCCCTCACCTCGTCTTCAAGCTTTGTAAGCATTCTGGCTACCAGCGTGAGCCATCGTGTATGAGCCCCATCCATCCTCAGTGCATTTTAGGTGCACCTGTCCAGGGGCTCAGCCCTTGCCCGTCCAACAGCCCAGAGGGGCTCCAGTGGACATTAAATAAAACTTACCCTTACCCTGAGATTTGAGATGCAATAAACCTTTGACATACGTGATACAATACGGGGCATCACAAGATCTAATGATGGGCAACTAACTGTTGTGTAAAGCTGTGCGCAACTTTCATGTGAAAGGAGCATTATGTTCCAGAACTGTACCCTTGAGAGAGAAGGTCCAGAACCCAGACAAACTTCATGGCAAACGTGATCGCGACATCACAATAGTTCATGCAGCAATGCTACTCAGACCACATTACCTGGAGAGTAACTTTCATCCAAAGTCGTTTCTGTCAGCGAGGGAGTAGCCTAAACTCAGTGGGTGAGCCGGTTGTCCATAGCCTTTCTCATCAACCAAAAGATAAAGATAAGCAACGTACACATAACCAGCGGGGCATTGCCAGATATAGCATGTCTAGCAAGCTAGGAAATCAGCCAGGGCAATCTCGTCCCACATCACTTAACTAAACGGGTACACAACTCTCGCAAGTCCCTGAAGACCGCCAGCAAGCACTCACTCCAGGTCACGACCAAAGGATATGGAAACTTCGCTAGATCTTGCCACCAACAATCTTCAGGATGCAGGACAAAGGGCTACCAATTTGCAACGCTAATTATATACGATCCAAGAGTGTATCTTTGGATTTTCAAAGCCGGCAGATCTCCAGAAGCAAATCTCCATACAACAGAAACCGCAAATTCAAATAATTCCTTTGACCTACAAACAGTGCAGGGCTAACAAGCACGTTCGAGACCGTACCATTATGTGGATGGCGCGACACACCCTCGCCTACTAATGGCTGTCAAGAGTAGAGCTCAGTAGAAACAGTACATGGCGGTTATCTTGAGAACATCAGCAGACTGTACAATCAAAAACAGTCTGAATCCCCAAGGAGGGCGTCCTTGACAGGCTGTGGAGAACTAGTTTACAACAGAACAATAGGGTCACGAACATGGTGCTTATAACGTGCTTCCGACTAAAGCAAGATGATTCAAATGTGTCACCAAAATACCAGGATAAGGCAAAGCAATCTACGCGCATTCAGTATTATTTAGTTGTTAAATGTAACTGAACTTAGGGGCTGTTGCGAAACTTCACACAAAGATCCACCAGGGTTCAGAGGGGAGTGAAGGAGAGCGCGCCTGGAGCACACAGCAATTCCTCAAAAGCGGATGTTCGAGTCCTTCATAAGGGGCTGGTAAAAGTAACATTAATGTACGTACCTCGTCTATCACCTCTTTGATAAGCTCATGAGCCATGTCAGTCTGCTTCTTATTTCCAATCAAGGTGACCATCCTTTCAGTGGCCCCTGGTTCAGTTTCTCCATCATTTTGGACCTGCAGGGGAACAAGCTATGCACCACATTAGGCAGTATTAGTATGCAGTCCGATGTAATGATCAGTTCTTAAACCAAATCGAAGGTCAAATAGAAAGTGAAATACATCTTGGGAACAAAGAGCACACCTGTATACGGGCTCCTGAGCGCCCCTGCAGATTCTTGATGGTCTCTCCCCCTCTTCCAATAATAAGGCCGACCTGAACATGAATAGTTATTGTAGCAAGCTGACTGGAACTTGAGGGAAGTGTACGAAGGTTTGATCTTTCACGACAAGCACAAAGACTTTCGAGTATTAATCAACACAGGAGGAATGATATGTTACCTTGTTGTTTGGAACTTTGATCTGGACTTGGTCGCCTGGTGGGCCAATGCCACCAAAACCACGTGCGACGAGGGCTCCTGAACCTCCAGCTGCGGCCTGCTGTGTGGTTCCACACGCACGTCGCAACAACATAAGAACACAACTTAAATGCTTCTAATTCACATACAAGAGTATTCACATTCACGAACAGGTACAAAGTCGAACATGTTTAAGTTGAGTTCAAGCAGGGAAAATCTCTGAGTTGCAAACCTCGGCAATAACGTCCTTGATGAGTTGTTCTGCACGGTTAATTTGATCTGGAGAGCCCATAAGCTCAACTTGTCTCGTAGGAGCTCGGGGATCAGAGTCTGCGTCCCTTGCGACTTGTATCCTGGCTCCTGACTGGTGTTGGAGGTACTTGATAGTTTCTCCTCCTTTCCCAATCACAAGGCCAACCTACAAACCAAGACATGACAGTTTAATCATTTCTGAAAATACTTCGGGTACCCGCATAACTGCAATCTTCTGAGAAACGTGCATATTGGCTTCGTGACCCCTAAACATCAAGACATTAAAGACATCGCAACTTAAGGGCATATTCGCATCCATGTCACCATGAACAGAGGATCGGACTTTGCGACATCTCTCGACCATCAACGAATACCGATAATACAACCGATATTCACAACCTGTGTATTACGATGCACGGTACAGGAATGACACGGCGACTCACGCAATCACAGATTAATACATCCGTTTTCCACACTACTATTAAATTGTCATTTTCTGCACCGCTAAAACGGAAAAAACTAGACACTTCAGAGTTGTGGGCCTGCATGAATGCCAATGCACGTGATCCCGAGGCCAGTTCGAAGTTACCACGTTCAATTCCAACGTTGCTGCTTTAAAATGTCCGCAATAAGACTAAATTATTCCAACAAAATTAGACTCCACAAGCTCGATCCTATCTTAGCAAGACATAGAAGGCCCCAGTATTGAAACCATGACAAGAAGAACATGTCTACGGCAGATACCCTCCATAGCTTGCGGGGCGTAAGGGGCTTCTCACCATGCACTCCCGCGGCGAGCCGATGTTTCCTACTGAAGAGTAAATACCATGGATCATAATAGAACGTTTGCTAGGAGAGAGAATCCTACGAAGAGACATCGCATACTACTTTCTGTTTCTCACCTTAGAATTCGGTACATCGATCTTCCGTGACTGATTTCCTTGTTGGTTGTAATACTGCGGGGTTTGATGGTACTCTTGCGCTGGCATATGCTGTCGATCATCCTGCTGCTGATCTTGTCGCTGTATACCGTGAGAGTGATCTGGTGGCCAGGCATGTGACAAATGTCCAGCGTCAAAGGGCGAAACATTTAAACACTTATACGTTATTGTCGAGGAACAATCTATAATAGGGCTACCTAAGACACACAGCACAATAATACTTGTAAACCCGAAAGTAGATAGTAGGGTGTAGAGTGCAATCTGCTTAGAAAGCAGCTTCCGAATATTATCCAGGAGTTAATGCCACTGACTAGGTTTCTTCTGATCATAGTGTGCTAAAGTGAACCGTGAAGGGAAACATTTTCTACATAACATACTCTGAAAGACAGAACCCATGACACTGGCATGAGTCCGAAGAGAACAACCTTGATCCATCATATATTTGTCCGTGCCGTATGAGCACAACAAACGTCAGGAACCAAAAAAACGCGGCAGAATGTTAACTACAAAGGGATAAACTTTCTTCGAGTGCATGCAATATAATAATACATGTTTGCAATGGCCGGCGGTCGCAGCCTCATCGGCAAAAAAGGAAAGACCGCTTTAGGCGTTTCTTGTAAACTTCAAGCAACTGGTACGTAAACCAGCAATGCTGTAAGGAAACTGAAAAAAGCTTTCGACCACTACGGAGACATGTTTGACTTGGATGCTTGCTACGACTGAAGGTACTTCGAAGTCGAAATGGAGAGTGGTAATAAAGAGGGGAGGCAACTTTGGCTAGCAATCAATCGTATGGCAATGCCAATGCTCATACCAGAATAAGGCTGGTCGTTTTCAGGCCCGTTCGAGCGATGAGGCAAGCTATGCTCGTCATTGCTCTCCTCCGTGCGGGGGCGTTTGAGGCCTTCTCCTCCAACCAACCGCGCAGCTATTTGCTGCACCCGTTCCTTGGCGAGCTGGAACTCTGACATGGGAGGGGGAACGGTGTTGTAGGACACTGGAGGTCCGTCGCTGTCAGGTGCTCCACTGCTGAAATTGGAAGGCTCTTCTGCGGGACCATCATCAAACTTCCTCTTGTTCTCGATACGGGGAGCTTCATACTCATCGGCGGCCCGATGTCCTCCATCGTCGGCCATATTCTCGACAATGGGTTACAAACCAAGAGCCGAAAACACAAAGTGCCTCGCCAGCCGCGCTCAAAACCAGCAACGAGTCGGAGAGGTCCGCTGGGACGGCGAAAAATGTCAAGGCAAACCTACGAGGCAAAAAAAAATCGCAAGCCTCAGACGAGAAATCAAACCCTACGCCGAGCAATGATTACAACCCTCCGCCCCAAAAACGCTAGACACCACCAACGCCTTAAACCACGACGACTCCTCGCGTCTCCGCACGGAAGACGAAAACGATTCCTTCCTCACCGCGACAGTGATTTTCCTCCGCTCGGCGTGCGACGAGCGCCAATGCAAACCAAACCAAACCAACTCACAAAACCAAAGCCCTAGCGCCCCGCAAAATCTATACAAACAACCGCGGGCGACGACGCTCGAACGACCAGAAGCGCACGGGCCAAATTAAGAGCCGCCCGAGGTAGCGCATTCACGACGAGGCATGCGAGGCGAGGGAGCGAGGGAGGGGAAAGGGCCTTACGGCAGAGCACGGGCGAGGCGGGAAGCGGAGCTGGGGCGAGATGCGAACTCGACTCTACAGCGCAAGAGTGCACACAACGGACGACACGCACTCGAGGAAGTGTCGAGGGCCGAGCAGACGACGTCTGAACGAGGAGAGAGGGTATCGCCTTGCGATAAGGTGCCCGGCCACCGTCCGATGTGCCGATGACGGGTTGCAAGCGCCTGCCTGCCTTGTAGCCCTGCGGCTTGCGGTACAAGAACCTCCCCCTCCGCTTCCCCGGCGGGATTTCCCCCCGGTTATCGGCCCCTCCGACCTTTGCTCCGACTGCTCGACCTTCCCATTCGTTCCTCCGGCGCCCGGAGAATCGGTCGCCGCTCTGTCGCCCTTCTAGGTTATGGATCGCCGATGTACGGCACGGCTTTCCAGCGCCAACAATAATTGAAACGAAGTTCGTCACTCTACGGAGGTTCTTATTCGAGCCGGACGACTGGCAGAACAAGAACTCCCTCACGATCTCACTGTATCGAGATCATCAATCCTGCATGTCCTCCGAGCTCCTCAATCGTCTTGTTTGTTTATCCCGAGCGTCGCCGGCTTCTCCCGTTTGTTTATTGCATTCGTATGTGGTGGTCCACGTTTTCTCTGCTTTCCGTCGACTCCTTTTCCATAAAGCCTTTTCTCCCTCCTTATTATATCTTCATGTGATGGAAATTTGTTATCTCGAGTTATTGTCTACTCGCCACACTGCTTTCCGTCGACTCATTTTCCAAAAAGGCTTTTCTCCCTCCTTATTATATCTTCATGTGATGGAAATTTGTTATCTCGAGTTATTGTCTACTATCGCCACAGCCTCCGACTGTTATATCTTGTTCGGCAAGTTCTCACATTGACTTCGACCATACTCACGAATCAAATCGATAGTTATGGGACCAAGTTTTGACTAACCCTTCACTTCACACATTTTTTGAATATTCTTAATGTTTAGATATGAGGTGACCTTTGAGTATTTACTTCTATCCATATTTCTTCTTTAGTAAGCTAATAAAATTTTAATATGCATCCCAGGTGACTTCATAGGTTGTTTTGCAAGCGGCTAAGCCACTTGCAAAACTTTTTATTACTCGTTGTAGCAATTTGACTATCAAATTGAATAAAATGACGATCATGATCTTGATCTTGTGCTTGCCCAACCTAGCTCGTGAGCTACTATGAACGAGTTTGGTCACCTTGTGATTGCACTCATTGCCACTTGCCTTTGTCAAATTTTTGTGCAATGCAAATAGATGCCGTAGTATTTATCCTCAAATAAGATTTATAACTTGAAGATGATGTAGCTAAAATCATATTCTTTGTAATTCAGAACCTCAAAACCTGCATAGACGATCTACAACATCCTTAGCTTGACCTACATATCAGAAGTCAGGTGCTAGAGCAGTGTAGTGTGTTACAATTGTTGTAAGTTCAGATATTATTCTAACATATGTTCAGAGCCCAAAAAGCAAGGATATGGCATTCCACCAACGCTTTGTGCAATGTGCAAGAGAGAATATCATATAACAACCAATTGCTCTAAAGCTGTTGCACCTAAATTGATCTTAAATAGAGGTGAGTCATCTCAACCCGCAGTTGTTAAGTCATTAAGAAAAACATCCGTGAGTTTTATTGGGATGGAATGGCAAAAGTAGATTGAAGAAAAGAAGAAGACTCAATGGGAGTTTTCAAAAGAAATGTCAGGAACGGAGTCTCCAAGAGTTGACAAGCACTACTACAAGTTTACAACTAGATCCATGAGAAGTGAGGAGAAAAAAGAACAACATATTAAGTCTAAGAAGACTAAGCAAGAGACTCTCAAGTCTAATGTATCTCTTGAGCAAGTGAAGCATAAGTTTTCTATGATATTAAGAGAGATGTTAAGGACTGTCTAGTCACGGCCACAATAGTAAAGCTGATCAAATGTAACCCTCTTTGTAGGAGACAACTGAAGGAAATGCTAACAGGCAAGCAAAGAAGGAAATTTCTAAAGGTGGATACAATAGTAGATGTAAGAATGTTTATGAAGGTCATGGTTCACATGATATTGATATTCAAATCAGTGGCCGCGTTTTTTCTTACGTTGTAATGGATGGAAGGTCTTGAGTGAACATCATGATTGAGGCTATTGCTCATCAACTCGGTTTTACACAACTAGACATAACTATGAGACTTGCCAACAAAACTATGGTGTTGTTAGTATGATCATTGAGTAAACAATAGATGGCAAACAATTCTTACTAAATTTCATGATCATGAGAGCAGACAAGTCATCCATCTAGCCCTTTTGATTAGTTGATGAGCAATAGCCTCAATTCTGATGTTAGTTCCAGATTCTCCATCCACAACAATGTAAGAAAGAACGTAGTCATAGATTTGAATATCAATCGTAGGACAACCACGATTTTTATGGAGCATTCTTATGTCCGCTATTATACACTTCTTTGACAATTTCCTCCTTCGATTGCCTTCTAGCATTTACTTCAGTTGTCTTTTGTAAAGAGGGTTGTCTTTCATCAATTGTCCTACTATGACTGGACAATCCTTAACATTTCTTTTGATATCATAGAAACCAATGCTTCATTAGTTTTGGCTCTCACCTTTCCTTCATCCACAATTGATCATGATTTGATGATTTGAAGATCTTGACATTGAGACTTTTCATGCCCCATGATCTCCAATTCTTGCGGCTCATTTTTTACCTCCTCATTGATTTTTGGAAAGAAAAGTTTTGGATTGTCCTTCTTGTAGTCACTAGCTCAAGAGATACACTAGACTAAGAGGACTCTTGCTTAGTCTTCATAACCTTTATCTCTTGTTTCTCTTCTACTTCCTTCTCATAAATCTATCAATGACTTTGTTGTAGTGTTCGTCAACTCTTGGAGTCTTCGCTCCTAGCATTTATCTTGAGCAAACTCAACTCATGTTGAGGTTGTTCATTTTCTTCAATCTCCTATAGTCATTCCATCCTTGGCGCTTCTTCATAGAAAAACTCCACAAGTTACTCAAGCGACAAATCATACAGATCAACAAGCTCTCTATCCACCATATGAACTTGTGAATGCGAAGTAGAACATTCATTAGGTGCATGATCTAGGTGTTTACAGCGTACACATCAAACATGTGTCTGATTGATTGATACTTTTCTATGATTTGAAGACAATCCAGCAAACAAAACACATGAAGTTTTAAGATGGTTAGCAAGATCGTCCACATTTCCATCTATAGACTTCTTCTCTTTAGTGTTCAACTCATCATCACTTATTCTTCTTGTTAGCCTTTTTGAAGCTTTTGTCTTTCTTCCAAGATGCAAATTTTTTTTGTTTTTCTTCGTGGAATGCTTTTTAGTCTTTCATTTGTCTAACCCTTTGTCTAAGCTTAAATAAGCTTCAAAATTACAAGTTGATTATGAGCTAGAGCCAGAATCACTGTATTATGAACTAAACTCATCAGAACTTTCATCTCTGCTTGACTTATACTTATTCTTCTTTCTATGGCTCTTGAAACTAGAAACATCAACACTTCTGTAGTACATGACTACTTTCACATTCTCCTCTGAAGTGATAGAATGAGCTTGTCGAACAAATTTACTCATCTTTTGAGGCAAGGAAGAAACAAACAATGACATGAGCATGGAATTTATTAGTGGAGTATCAATCTTCTTTGTCATCTGTTGGAACTTCTGCAAAAATCTACAGAAATTTTTTTCTATTTTCATCTTCATTTGGCTAATCTTAATAAGTGACTCAGTCTACTCTCCTCTCTTTCCAAATTTCAGCTAGAAAGCAGCTTTAAGCAAATCTCAATCACCCTTTATATTGGATGTCAACTCATTGTACCAAGGTCTTGCTTCTTCCTTAGTACTCCAACCAATGTATTGAGCTTGATAACATCTTTTCTATAAGTTTGAGCAATAGCAATAAAATCTTTCAATTACCCATCAGCGTCTTGCTTCCTCTTATACAACAAAGGTTGATACTGAAATTTAGATCTTTGCATATTCATCATGTATTCTCTTGGCTGCAATGCCTACGAGTCACCGAGTTGTTCTTGCACTTCAAGTGATTCTTCTTCCGAGCCTTGTAAAAAATTATCTTGAATAAGCAGATGTCTTAACTCTTAAATCACCTCTGTTCTTTCTTGTAGCTCTCTTCATTGGAAGGTACATGAATAATTTCCTTGATTTCTAGTCATAGCATGATCATACAATAGTATAAATTATTATCTTTTCCACAAGTGAGAAATTTTCATCAAATCAAAGATCTAATTTTGTGTCTTTGGTAATATTGTTTCCAGGCAACAACGCCAAAAAAAACAAATCAACATTATGTCAAGAACTTGTATTGGAGTATTAACACCAATAACGCTATACTTGATGCTAATTACTTCCTCACTTAGTCGGTTCTACTAGAAGTATGTTCTTGGAGAAAGAACATAGCTGAATCATGTTATATCGTGACTTATATTTGATAGATTTGATTCCATCGCCAAAAAGTCAAGTCTACCTTACAAATGCAATCGCTCCCTCTACATTCACTCCTCTCAACTCTAAGTGAGTTAACACATTGTTGTCACTAAGTTGTCTCTCGGGTATGGCATCTCCTAGCTATATTAGTCAAAGTTCAAACACCGAATACTTATCACTATATCCTAACCTATATCTCACAGATGTATAGTAAGTAAAGTATGAGATTAAAAAAAAAATGGGAGTAAGTTGAACTTTTTTGAATAAACTTTTGTGAACACAATGAACGATCAAAAAAATTACTCCTCACATGCACATGAAAAAAGATCTAAAAAACTACTTCTCGATTTCAATTGTAAAATTCTCCGATACAACTCTTGTATCCACTCTAAAGTGCTAATCTTCATAGCAATCAAGATGGCTTGACGCTCACACAAAGCAAAGCCTCGCAATTCACAAGGCCAAGACTTATGTAACAAAGCAAATATATCCCTTGTGACTCTTGAGGGATCAAAGATAAAATTTGTACAATAAGACATTGATTTACTATCTAATCTATACTAATATAATCGTCAAATACTTCCGTGATTGAAAATCCAAATGCAAGTAGCAACTTATCTCTTCACTTCAATATGTAGCTTGACTCTTCAAGTTATCAAACAATGATTTTTATCCAATTCACCAACATCTTGTGCCAACTTTTCTTCTAGTCAACAAATTTGGTTCTAAACAAAGCATGTTTAACAATATTCACGCTTGTGTTCGCCCGACTTAAGCATCTTGAAGAATTTTGATCTATCTATTTCTTGGAAAGTCAAGCTCACTTGTAGGAGTCCCATTGTCTATATTTAATGATCATCTTTTTGTACTCTTTGGTCGTGGATACACTTTAATCTGAATAATTCTAGAATGCAAAACAAGCTTTGAGGCAGGAGGTTGACTCTTATAATTTCAATCGCAATCTATAACATGTTTGCGTCG